CTGAAGAGTTGGCCTCAGGAATGGTTTTAGTTTTGGGCTAACAGAGAGTTCGAAGGCCACGTCTTCCGGGGACCCTCCAGTCTCCATCTAACCATTAAGTCTGGTCTTTTTTCTAGAATTTGAGTTCTGTGCCCCACTTTTCTCCTGCTCTGTCAGGGGCTCTCTGTTGTGTTCCCTGTCAGGGTGATCACTGGTGGTAGCTGGGTACCATCTAGTTCTTCTGGTCTCAGGCTGATGAAGTCTTGGGTTTTGGCTTTGCCAAAAGCGATCTCTGCCTCTTCTAAACTGCCATAGCACTGATGAAGTCTTTCTGTCTCTTGGGCTAATACTTTCCTTGAGTCTTTGGTGTTCTTCATTCTCCGTTGCTCCAGGTGGGTTGGGACCAATTGATTCATCTTAGATGGCTGCTCACTAGCTTTTAAGACCCTAGATGCCACTCACCAAAGTAGGATGAAGAACATTTTCTTAATAAACTTTGTTATGCCAATTGACCTAGATCGTACATCAGACATTTTTGAGGGCTGGCAGTGTGCCAAGAAATTAGGTAAAGGGATCCAAAAATGAATAACATCCTTGCCTGTTTATGGCCTAGTGGTTTAGTTAGCACAAATACAAGTATCTGTGGTGCACCTGCTAACTGAAAGATAGGAGATTTGAGTCCATCCAGAGGCACCTCAAAGGAAAGGCCTAGTGATTTACTTTAGAAAAACCAGCTATTAAAAACCCTATGGAGCACAGTTCTAGTCTGATGCACATGGGGTCACCATGGGTTGGAATCGACTCAATGGCAATTGGTATGCTTTAGATATAAAGTCTTTAGGAATGACTGGTTGTCTGAGGTTGTCAGGGAAGGCTTCAGAGCCAAGGTCTAGGCGAGTCCTTGAAAGAGAGAAGTTTGGCAGACAGAGAAGGGAACGACTGAATATGCAAAGGCACAGAAGTGAAGGGACACAGCCCATTTAAGATAAGAGCAAGATCAGTGTTGGCAGAAGGTACACTTCATAGTGGGAAGGAAAGTGGGAGTTGACAGATAGGATGGATGAGTGGGAAAGTTGTTCTAGGCTAGGGGAACAGCATGAACATGGTCACAGAGGTGAGAAATCATGGTACCTGTATGTATAATACTAAAGTAATTCAGTCTAGCTGCAGCTTAGTGTGTGATGGAATGGAAAGGGGAACAAGGTGGGAAAAATAATTTGGTGCCAGATTATGGGAGATCCAGAATGCCTGGCAAAGGACTTTGAATTTTATTTTATTTTGAAGACAAAAGGGAAGACATTGAGGGTTTTTGGGCTGAGATCAGGGAAGATGAATTCTGCTCTGTGTAAAATGGATTAAAATAGAAATTATTAAAGGAAGCCTCTAGAAATGGGATATTAATTTTGTGAGTATGGGGTATATACCCCTTTTTTATGATGCAGAAAAGTTTGGGAATCCCTGGATATAGGAGGGTACAGACGCCACGAGCAGATATAGGGACTGCAGAACCTGGAGGAGGTGGGAGCTAGAAGATGATTTCACGGGTGCTAGTGGGACTTCCAGAGCCCTGGTGGTGCTGTGGTTAAACAGCTTGGCTGCTAACCAAAAGGTTGGCAGTTCAAATACACTAACAGCTCCTTGGAAACCTTATGGGGCAGTTCTGCCCTGTCCTATAGGGTTGCTATGAGTTGGAATCAACTCGGTGGTAATGGGTTTTGGGTTGGTGGGTGTCATGGTTTTAATTATGTCCCCCCAAAAATGTGTGTATCAATTTGGCTGGGCCATGATTCCCAGAATTGTGTGGTTGGCCTCCATTTTGTGACTGTAATTTTATGTTAAAGAGGATTAGGGTGGGATTGTAACACAACCTTTACCCAGGTCACATCCCTGATCCAGTGTAAAGGGAGTTTCCCTGGGGTGTGGCCTGTACCACCTTTTATCTCTCGAGAGATAAAAAGAAAGGGAAGCAAGCAGAGAATTGGGGATCTTATATCACCAAGAAAGCAGTACCGAGAGCAGAGCGCGTCATTTGGACCTGAGGTTCCTGCACTGACATGCTCCCAGACCAAGGGAAGACTGATGCATCACAAAGACCTTTCTCCAGAGCTGACAGAGAGAGAAAGCCTTCTCCTGGAGCTGATGCCTTGAATTTGGACTTGTAGCCTACTTGACTGTAAGAGAATAAACTTCTCTTTGTTAAAACCATCCACTTGTGGTACTTCTGTTAGAGCAGTATTAGACGACTAAGACAGTGGGACTTCTAGGTAGCTGGAAATTTGGAGATGAGGGTGGGAATAGGGGTTGGAGGAGGTGGAGATTTGGGAGACATCTACATAGAGGGTGGCAACAAGTACCACACAGGGGCAGACATGGGTGCCAGAGGTGGCAGAGTGAGTCATCAGGATTCTTGCAGTTGCAAGTGACAGAAACCTACTCATCCCAGCTTAAGCAATAGAATTTGCTGGCTCACATGATTGAAACAAGGCTGAGTCGAGGGACTCAAACGCCACTGGGACTTGGTTTCACTGTCTCTATCGGGCAACTCTGTTTTTCCCTCTTTGTCTTGGTCTTATTCTCCTGCAGTCTCTCTCCTTGCAGTGGGAAGATGGCTGCCACCGGTACCACGATTACATCCTGCCCTCAGCAAATATACTCATTCAATGTGAAGGTTCTGACCAACGTCCCAGAATTGAATCTCATTGGTTCTCATTAGGTCACATGTCCATTGATGAAGTGCTGTGGCAAGAGGACTCTCTATAATGCTCTGATTGGCTAAACCTGGGTCACATGTCAATCTCTTCAACTGGAGGTAAAGCCATCTCCTCTCTAGTCACATGAATTGGGAGTTGGGGAAGCGGCTTCTCCAGGAGAAATGGAAGTGTTGTTACCAGAAGAAGGAGGAATTAACAGTGGGCTAGCAACCACAGAGTGGGGCAGGGAGGACTGGAGACTCACAGGCTGCCTCTTCTGTTAATATGAGGCAGCTGTAGCCAGTGGGGCAGTGAGGAAGGGGTGCTAGGAAGCTGGGCCAGTAGCAGAGAATGAGGTTGAATGGAGTCAAGTTGTGACGCCACTGCCAATTGGGGCTGTGAAAAGGTCTGGGAGGGCCCTTCTGACAAAAATCTGACAACGTAATAGACAAAGTGCTAAGTGAGTCTTTGTCCTCAGAATGAAGGCAGGAAAAGTTCAGCGGTTGGGTGACACCCCATCAAGATATTGCTGCTATGGAAAGGGCAGACATTGTCTGGGGACATTCACGGGATTGTGAGATGGGGTGAAGGAAAGGTCATTGCAAACTGGCTTTGCAGAGGGAGAAAAACGCACAACCAGTTTTCAAGTTTTAGAAATCAAACTAGTGCATTTTTACAACAATCAATTATTTACAAATTTTCAAAAAAATTTAAAATAGCCAAAAGCAACCTAAATCTTCAACAATAGGTGAATGGATAAATACCCATATAGTAGAACACCAAAAAACCCCAAACCCGTTGTTGTTGAGTCGATTACTACTCATAGCGACCCCACAGGCCAGGGAAGAACTGCCTCATAGGGTTTCCAAGGAGCAGCTGGTGGATTCGAACTGCCAACCTTTTGGTTAGCAAAAATGCTGCTTTATTTGACATAGAAAGACGTTTATAACATTTTGAGAGAGAAAAGCATGTCATAATCTTATTTTGGTAAAAATAAATGTATATATAAACCAAAACCAAAGCAAACCCATAGCTGTTGAGTTGATTCCAACTCATAGCGACCGTATAGGACCTAGCAGACCTGCTCCACAGGGCTTCCAAGGCTGTAATCTTTATGGAAGTGGGTTGCCACATCTTTCTCCTGCAGAGTGGCTGGTGGTTTCGAACCGCTGACTTTTTGGTTAGCAGTTGAGGGCTTAACCACTCTGTCACTAGGGTTCCTTAAATGTATATATACATATAAAAAAGTCTGAAAAAGTACTCACCAAAAATGTTAATAGCTGGTATCCTTGTGGGTAGGACTACAACTGAAGTTTATCTTCTGATTTCCCTATAATAAACCTACTGGGCAGTAGGACAGTGTAGTGGTCAAACTAGAACCAGCCTCCTGGGTCCAAAAGCCTAGGTCCAAGCCCCTGCTCTGCCACTGCCTGGTTGGGTGACTTTTGGTAAATTTCTTAACACCTCTGAGTTTCAGTTCACTCATTCGTAAAATGGGGATAACAGTTCTTACTTCATAGGGTTGTTCTGAGAATTAAATTAGTTACTACTACATGCAAAGTTATTAGCATCATGCTTATAGTATACACTGAAAAATGTGGTTATTTTTTGTGGAATTAATAAGTTCAAGAGAAAATATGATGATTAAATGAAATATATTGGAATATTATCTTTCTTGACGAAATAACTGTGGTGGTAAGCAATATATTAACTATTATTAGGATAAACTATTTTTCTCTGAACATTGGGAAACATCTGAGAATACGACAGAGAAGGTTCCTATTCTCCCGGAGCCTGCAAGCTAGCAGCGTGCTGGGAGGATAGGATGATCAGAGAAGGCGGGGACATTTGAGGGCTGAAAGTCAACCAACAGTTAAGTGCAGGGCCCTACGGTGGGGAGGAAGATTCTGAAACAAAAGACCTTTGTGGCTGAAGCGACGGACAGTGGGGTGTAGGAGCTCTCACGCCACAGCGGACTGAATACAGACCTGGGGAGTCAGGAGGCCACCCACTTGCTGTGTACACTCGGGCAAGTCACTGCCCGTCTCTGAGAAGCCTCCGTCTTCTCTGCAAAATAGGGACGATAATACTTTGCTTCCAGGGTTGCAAGGATCAAAAGAAATGTCACTGGAGTGCTTTGCAAACTATTGTTTCTAGTCTTATGACAACTACAATCATCGGGAAAAGAGGTACAGAGCGGAACACTGAACACTGGCGCCACTCCGGCCTTGCGCGTGCGCGCTGGTCGAGCGCAGCCGAGACGTGGGAGGAATTTAGGCTCCGCCTCGAACCGTCCCAGCCTCTTCTTCCCCTCTCCGTCCCTCCTACTTCCGCGGGCACCCAACCGTGCGTCGCCTGCGTGCTGACGTCAAGTGCGTGCCCCTGTCCGGCAGTCGAGGAGACCCCGCGCAGTGCTGCCAACGCCCGGGCGGAGAAGCTGAGGTGAGTGCGGGGCCTGAGGTTCCCCGAGGAACCGACTACCCCATCGTCCCGTCCCCACCGTGTCGCCCCTAGCCTTTCCTCGTCTTCGGGGACACCCGGTCCCCGGGATTCTGCGAGGCCTGGGAGCGCAGAACGCGGCGGGGGTGGGGGTGGGGTGCCCGGTTCGTGCTGTGCTCTCCAGGCGAGCGCGGGTCCCGGTTCTGTAGAGAAACGAAGGGGAGGGAGTCGCGGCGGGGAAGGCGGGGTGCACGCCCGCTGCGAGGTGCCGGGCTGGGGCTCGGGGTGCCGGCCTGAGGGCGCGGGCGGGGCCGGGCTGTCACCGGGCAGCGGCGGAAGGAAGGGGTCACACCCATCCCAGCCGCCCGGGCTCCCCTCCCCCTCCGGCCGGGCCCCGTGGGCACCCAAAGGCGGGCGGCCGGACTGGGGTGCTTTGGGCCCTGGGCCGCGAAGCCTCTCGCGGGCGCCCGAGGTGGAGGAGGTGTTGGTCCTCGGGACTCGAAGGCTGGTTGCTGCCCACCGCGCTTCGCCTTCGACTTCCTGCTTTGCCGGGCGCCGCCGCGGACATTTTGCGGCGGGCGGGGGGAGGGGAGCGGCATTGCAACTGCGGCGGGGAAGTGGCGGCTGGGGAGGGGGCAGCTTGCTGACTGCCCTTGGCTGTTCCTTCGACGCTCTTCCCGCCCCTGCCTCCCAGCTCGGCAGTTCATTTGAGCAGGGTAGGTTTGGTCTCCCTTTCTCCAGTGTCCTTTATCCTGCCTTAGGTTGAGTTCCTAATATTTCTGTTTGCTTCTCCTACATCTGACACTCTCCCTGCTTATTCAGCTGAAGCTTTGAAGCTTCCCCTTCAGGGAGTTACCTAACCCCCTCCCGAAACTGTCGTTCGGCCCCTTGCTTAATTCCTCTTACTAAGGGGAAATTTTCTTTGTTCGTTTGTTTTTTTCCTTCCGTTTAAATCCTAGAGAAATGCAGTGTGGAAGATTACGTCATCGCAGTATAAGGGGTGAGAGTTTTAACTCCTACAAGTCAGGGACTCACCAGATTAAGACAGCGTTTTGCAGTTTTAGTGGGTCATCCAGAGACTTATCCTGCCCGCTTCCCAGCGCATCATGTTCAGAGATGATTTTTTTGAAATCCTGTTAACTCGGGTTCATGGTCACCTCAGATGCATCTAAAGGAAGATTTAAAATCTCAAGATTAGGTTGTGACAGAAAATAAAGCATAAGACAACACCTTCTGTAGCCGCTTGCGTAGGATATAACTTTAAAGTTCTCCCTTGACTGTACTTGAATGAAGCCAGTTTATTTGTGGGTGCATTTTTTTGGCCCCAAAATGACTTTCCCGGATTAATTGACTTATCCCATATACTTGTTTGATGCAAGATACCTACCGAGATTGCCTCACTTGCTCTTTTTGTGGCCAGGGTGTGGGGGTGAGAGGATCAGTTTTGCTTCCTAGGCACTTTAGTTTTTTAATTAAAAACTAGTTTTGAATTTTTAACAAAAAAAAGTAAATGACTGACACTTTTTTTTTCCCAATTTTTGTTCCCAAGAATGTGAGGTAGTCTAAATTTTATATCCTCGTTCGGAGTGCAGTAGCACAGAAAAGTGTTAGCATTGTAAAGCAAATGAGATCCAGTTGTGTAATGCATTGTTATAAGGGTAGTTCATGTTGGAACAAGTACATTTCTATTGTTTCTCATTTGTATAGAGAGAACAGATTGCTTGTTAAACACTTTAAAGAAGTGGTAGATTTAAATGAGCTTTCTGTAGTGTGGATGTTGCAGATAGGCATAGCGGGATGAATCTTCTGAAATACATTTGTTTGCCTTAAAGTGGTATCTTGTTTCAGGAGTATAAAAGTGAAACCCTTGTCTGCTGCCTTATTTCTTGAGTCCTCTATTTTTAAGAAGTCTCTATATGTGTCAGTTCACATCTTTTTAAAAATATAGCAGAGTAGTTTGAATTTACAATTTTTAGACTGAGACCAGATAATTAACAGAGTATTGAAAATGAGCTCTTCAGTAATTTCTTTAAACATCCTCTGTTTACTCTTAAAAAGTTTTCATGTAATAACCAACACCTGTGCTCAGTGAAACTTTTTTTTGGAATCGAAGGTAGGAATACAGTTAGTTAGGGGGCTTAAATCAGATATCAGTGAGATTCTTAAAGCCTACTGAGACCAAATCTTTTTTTTTGTAGTTTCAGAATTTGTTTTCCTTTGTTAGGATGCTTTTCTACTTGCACTTTTATGGACTATTGGAAAAGCATTTCTTGTTTATTTTTAAAATAGTTACACCAATAAAATGTTTTGATCCAAGAGATGTCAGATTTGGAAAACTTAAAATTTACTGTGCCTGTCTGGGAAGTAGTATTGATAGGCATTCTTGAAAGTAAAAGTCAAGTTATTCTTTTACTTATGGGTACATTTCTAAATGCATTTCTTTATTGTTTTAATGTCTTTTTTTTGAGAGCGATGAAGAGCATCTAATGAGAGCTATAGGCTACAGGGCTTTTCGGGGAGCAGGGAGTAATGTGTTATTTCCCATATATGGCTCTGTGTATCCTCCTTATTTGTAAAGGGCTCCATTCTAGGCTTTTACGATAATTCTTTATTCAGTTTTCCCTTCTAAATGTATTTGTTGTCAGTCTCTCCCACTAACATGTAAGTTCTATGAGGGCAGGACTTTGGCCTGGTATGGTCACTCCTGTAGCCCTAGCACCTAGAATAGAGCCAAACACAAAGTAAGTCTCAAGAAATATTTGTCAAACGGATGAATTTGATATTGTCTGAGGGTTAACATTTTTTCTTTCTGCATATTCCATAAGCCTTTGCACTGTGTCTCTCAGGACTACTTTTGTGCTTGGTCAGCTTGAAATTACTAGCCTACCCTTGCTTGACTTTATCCATCTGCAGCTTCATTATGTGGACAATTTACCATCGCTTAGAATATATTTTCTGATGACTGGTTCCCTTATTCTCCTAAAAATTACTCAGATTTAGTGTTTGTTTCCTTATCTTCCTCTATTTCTTTGTTTGCTAATAACAGTTTATTTTCTGCCGCTTATTTCCCTCTAACCTGTTGCCGTCGAGTCGATTCTGACTCATAAATCGACCCTGTAGGACAAGGTAGAACTGCCCCATAGGGTTTTAAAGGAGCGGCTGGTGGGTTTGAACTGCTGACCTTTTAACCACTGTGCCACCAGGGCTTCTATTCCCCTCAACAGTATCAAATTCCTAATCATGTTGTGCTTTGTCCTTTACTGGTTTCTACTTTTAGTTACTCATCCCTTCAGTCCAAAATATTTTTGCTAAAAGTAATTTTCACTGCTTGTTATTTCAGCTATGTCTGCCAATGCTGCTATTGTAAGTCCTGGGTGTCAAAACTCTTTCTTCACCTGTCACCCCTGGGACATTGGTTCTCAAATGATTTATTCCATGAGATGAAAACCAGGTGTGTTGCCACCAAAATGGTATCCCTCCTTTCAGTTTTAGAAAAATATTTTTTTTTCCCTCAAATACTTGGCATTAGCTATTATGCTGAAGTCCAGAACAGTTTTTAGTATAGCCAAAAATTACATACTGCGAAGTCATGGTATTCACCAAGCAGTAAAGTTTCTAGGTGCTCTGTTACCTGAAGAGAACCTCTGACTTAGGCTGTGTTGCTCTATGTTCTTCACTTTAATACTTGCATTCTCTTCTTCAAAGTAAGCTGTTTATCTCCACTTGCTGGTTTTAATTCTTCCGCTATGTGTTCTTGAGAGATGTACTGCTAGTATAGTGGTTAAAAGTGTAGAGTGTAGAACCAGATTGCCTGAGTTCAAATCCTGGCTCTGCCATTTATCATCTGTATGATCTTGGGCAGTTTAAGTATGTCTCTGTGACTTAGGTTTCCTTTTTGTAAAATAGGAATAGCAATAGTCCCTACCTCATAGTATTGTTATGAGGATTAAATCAGTTAATATATGTGAAGTGCTGTATAGGTGTTTGCTCTTGTTACTATTACAACCTCCCTTACACTTTTGAGACACTGTCAGTGTTTCTCCCAAACATCAAGATTTTAATAACCCATCATCCCCCAGACTAATCTCATTATAAAACCATAAACATTAAATGAAGTGTGGGTTGTTACTTCCTTTAAGTTTTTATCCATTCTTTTTACCAGTAAGGAGCCCTGGTGGCGAGGTGGTTAAAGCCTTGACTGCTAACTGAAAGGTTGGCAGTTCCTACCCACCAGCCTCTCCACGGGAGAAAGATGTGGCAGTCTGTTTCTGTAAAAGGTGTATAGGCTTGGAAACCCTATGGGACAATTCTGCTCTGTCCTAAAGGGTCGCTGTGAGTTGGAATTGACTCAGTGGCAAACAGCATTTTTACCAGTGTCATAGAAGGCATTAAATATGCAGTGTGTGGTTGATGGACTAGCAGCATAAGCATCACCTGGGAGCTCATTAGAAATCTTAGGCCCCATCCAAGGCCTGCTGAATCAGAATTTGCATTTTTACAAGATCTCCACTTAATTTTTATGCACATTAAAGTTTGAAGCACTCCCTTTAGGGCTGCTAGACTAATGTGTTAATGAATTTTATTAACAACATAGAGTGCTTTTATTTATAAAATTTTATTGTGGTAAAAAAATATATGTAACAAAACACTTAACATTTTAACCATTTTTAAGTATACAATTCAGTGACATTAAATACATAACCCATGTTGTTTGAGTGCTTTATTCTATATTTATTTTTTTCCCTTGCTTAAGTATAACCTAGTTCTAGTCTGTGTACCAGAACTTACTGCAAGGATAATAATCTGTAAATGAAATGAATCTCAAGCCTATTTGGCTTTTAAAGGAATTAGTTAATAGTTTTTCTTGCCTACTGTGTAGAATTGCCATGTCTGTGCTCATTATCAGCAGCCAATGTGTTGTTTAAAGTTATTAAAGCTGCCACTGTCCATTAATCTTAAGTTCTAGTTCAGTATATGAATTACATGTTTGAATTTAAATGGCT